TATTCAGGTTAAATTGCCGTGTTAGCACTTTGCGATAAATAAGTGGGTTTTGGGTTGCAGTTTGGGCACTCGGTCTCTCTAAAAGGTTCGCCATCACTGCTCTAAGCTGTGGAATCTCGTGAGCAAAAATGCTACTTTGTGAGCTACTTGCATTAAAGTTGTGAGCCAGGGATTTGGCTGCTGCATAAATTAGTTTGCTCTGGAGCCATCCTTCCTGAGCTGAGACAAAAATGGGTGAGCCGGAGGCTAAAAAACTGTGAGCTGGCTCACACTCACTCAGCTTAGAGGGAACACTGCGAGTCACAAGACTCCATAGCTTAGAGGGAGCATCGGTTGTGAGTTGTAACTTTTCCCCTTTGGAGTGCGCCCTTAGAACTCTCTGCCTGGTTGCCTTTTTCTGGGTTTGGGGACAAAGAATTGCCAAGCAAAAAAGGTATTGTCAAGTTTCCCAGCATTTAGCAGCTTCTCTGCAGTCTGTTTTTAGCCCGCCCCTCCTCCCAGGTGGTCAGGGGGGATATACGTGGTTCCCCCTTCCCCCATCTCATTCTCACAACCACCCTGCGAGGAAGGTTAGATTGAGGAAAGGTTGAAGAGCCGGGGACTTTTCAGTTTAGAAGAGATGAGTAAAGGGGGACATGAGAAGAGGTTTGTAAAATTATGCATGAGGTGGAGATAGCTGACAAAGAGAAATGTTTCTCTCTCTCCCAAAATACTAGAACTCCAGTGAAGCTAATGGGCAGTAGGTTCAGGGTGGACAGAAGGAAATAACTACTTTACACAGAGAGTGATTCAAATGTGGAATTCTCTCCCGGAGGGTGTCGTGATGGCCACAGGAATAAACAGCTTGAAAAGGGGATTAGATAGATTCGTGGAGGATAAGGTTATCAGTGGCTACTAGCCATGGTGACTGAGGGAAACCTCCACGTTCAGAGGCAGTCAACCTCTGAAACTCAGAGCCAGGAGGATACAACAGGGGAAGGCCTCAGCCTCTCTGCCCTGTTGTTGGCCCTCCAGAGGAACTGGTTGGCCCCTGTGTGAGTCGGGATGCCGGACCAGATGGACCACTGGGCTGACCCAGCAGGGCTCTTCTTATGGGGTCAGCAGGATAGGTCTATCAGCAGCTGTTTGATGACTAAAAGGAACCTCCACATTCAGAGGCAGTCAACCTCTGAATCCCAGAGCCAGGAGGCAACAACAGGGGAATGCCCTCGGCCTCTGTGCCCTGTTGTTGGCCCTCCAGAGGAACTGGTTGGTCACTGTGTGAGACAGGTTGTTGGACTAGATGGACTATTGGTCTGGTCCAGCTGGACTCTTCTGATGTTCTTATGCAAACAGGAAGGACGGTTCTTATGAGAACAGGGGTGAGCTAACTGTGGTGTACAGTGTTCCCTCTAAGCTGAGTTAGTGTGAGCCAGCTCAGTTTTTAGCCTCCGGCTCACAGATTTTTGTCTTCGCTCAGGAAGGATGGGGCTCCAGAGCAAACTAATTTATGCAGCAGCCAAATCGTTCACTGACAACTTGAATGCCAGTTAGCTCACCAAGTAGAATTTTTGCTCACAAGATGCCACAGCTTAGAGGGAGCATTGGTGGTGTAGCGGTTAAGAGTGGCAGGACTCTAATCCAGAGAACCGGGGTCGATTCCCCACTCCGCCACATGAAGCCAGCTGGGTGACCTTGGGTCAGTCACAGCTCTCTCAGCCCAAAAACCCCAAGTCTAGCTCGCCACCCAGTGGTGCATAATGCTAAAAGAGCTAGAACGTTGGCTGCCAGACAATCCTTGGATTTCCTGGCTATACTACACACACTCACCATACGATTATTATTATTATTGTGAGAACAGGTCACCCAGTCAGTGGCCGTTTGAACCTGGGTGGCTCCCTGTTCGTAGCACACCACTCTAACCACTACATCCACACTGACTTCACCTACCTGCCCACTCACACTGGTCCCCCCAACTTTTCTTCCTTCCCTCCCTCATATTGTCATTTCAGAGTCTGGAGTCAGCCATGAAGGGCCTGCGTATCAAGTGAAAGAGCCGCCAAGGGGAAAGGCCCTTTCAGCCGTGCTTCACCTGGGCCTTCCTGCCCGTCGGCTCTTTGCTTCCTTAACCTGCTTCCTTCCTGCCGCTCAGCGAGCGACCTGAGAAGACAAATCCCGGCACAGCGACAAGCTTTCTCGCCGCTCCTCTGCTCGTCGCTGATTTCGCGGGAGAGGAACTTATTAGCCGAGCTCAATAAAAAAAAAGAGAGATGCTGGTCATAAATAGCCAAACGGAAGTTGTTTCCCCTTGTGTCAGTGGGCGGGGCGACGGTCTTCTTCTATTTGAGCTGCTCTTTTGGCGTAGTGGTTAGGAGCCCAGACTCTAATCTGGGAGAACCGGGTTTGATTCCCCACTCCTCCACATGAAGCCAGCTGTGTGACCTTGGGTCAGTCACAAGTTAGCGTAGTGGTTAGGAGCCCAGACTCTAATCTGGGAGAACCGGGTTTGATTCCCCACTCCTCCACATGAAGCCAGCTGTGTGACCTTGGGTCAGTCACAAGTTCTCTGAGGTGTTCTCTTACGAGCAGTCCTCGAAAGAGCTCTCTCAGCCCCACTTACCTCACAGGGTGTCTGTTGTCGAGAGAGGAAGTGAGGAAGATTGTAAGCCGCTCTGAGATTCCGAGTGAAGGTAAAAGGTAAAGGTCTCCCTTGCTCGAAAGCCAGTCGAATCCGACTCTAGGGTTGCGGT